CTCTGTATTATACTGCAGTACTCTCTTATACTACAGTACTCTGTATTATACTACAGTACTCTGTATTATACTACAGTACTCTGTATTATACTGCAGTACTCTGTATTATACTACAGTACTCTGTATTATAGTACAGTATTCTGTGTGTACAGTGACCATCTGTATGTGTGTTGCAGGAGATCGGGACAGGAGGAACGTGTCAGTGGAAGATCTGTGGTTTGGATCCGACCACCACGCTGGCTCTTTACTTTGAGGTGGTCAACCAGGTACGAACGCTTGACCTCTGACCTTTAGATGGTCTGAGATCAGCCTGAAAATGTGCTGAAACTCAGTGCTTGAGTAAATGTAGTTTTCCACCACTGATCAGTACAGCTTCAGCCACCAGCAGGTGGAGGCACATACAATAAAGGAAACAGCTCAAGTCAACAAAATAAAAGCACCAGCTCAGGTCACATACATTTTAATTTAATCAAGTTAATTTTACATCTGGTAGCTGCAGTCACAGGTGAAGTTTTGTTGGAACAGAAACCCGCTTCCAGTCCCAGTCAGGTGGTATCTACTGTATGTTTTCGTTGTGGATCAGTGATTCTCAAAGGTTTATTGATTAATAAGAAAATATTAAATATACTGCCACACTAGAAAATAAATAAGCACACAGAGTCCATATCCATCCATAGTATTATTTTCTTATTGCTTATTATACAGTCAGATTGCCGACCCTTTGGATATGAAGTCAGACAAGAAAACGTTCCTTATATTTTAAATTAAACTGTTCTGGGTCGGTCCTGGCGTTTGCTCTCAGTAGGTCCAGAATACCTCCTCAAGGATGCGTTCAGGAGGATCCTGATCAGATGCTCAACCATCAGTTGAGGTCATCCTGTCATGAACTGAATTATGGAGTACAAGTACAAGTCAGATTCACTCATCCTGAGGAAACCGTGGATGTCTGTACTGAATGAACCACTGAATCACTGTCTATAAGAGTCTGCTCCAACCAAAGCTGGAGCTGGAGGTAACCATCATTCACATCATCCATAGCCCTGAATGTGATGGAGGAGGAATGTCTTCAAACTGAAATGGAACTGCATTTCCCACAATGCAGTGTGACTGTCACAGACCAGTCTGATGACCGGTTGTCTGCAGATACAGCAGGTGTTTCTGTCTTTGGACTGAATAGTGGTGTAGAGGTGGTAGCAGTGGTTGTGTCAGCTGTGTTGGTCATGGTGGTGTTGGTGTTTTTGATGATGACGGTGGGCGTGTTGTCGTTGTCGTTGTCGTCGTGCTGATGCGATTGGCTGTGTCCAGGTGGATGATGGAGCTCTGTGGGCGGGACTCCAGAGGCGTCCCAGAACATGGACACATCTGAATAAACCTGCCGATGCTCCGACGCACCGCTGTCCTGTACCTGCTGAAAACACATGGACAGAAGTTATGTTTCCATCCAGAATTACTTTGTCAATATGTGTTATTGCTGCTTCACAACTAATCCTACAAGCCGCACACTCACGATTCACTTTGTCTTTCCGGAATCTTACTTACGTCTGCGTCATACAGGTGATCCAGGGGTTGAGGGCAGCACTGGTCAGAACTAGCCAGGCAGAGAAGGCAGACATCACAGCAGGACTCTGTTGACCACTAAACGTCTCGTAAAGACACACTGAGATGTAGGGCAGCCAGCACACCAGCAAACATACTGGAAAACAGGAAACTGTTAGCACATAACCAAAAATACATGAACAGATCAGAACCAACCAAAAGTTGTTGCAGAGGTCTGGCGACTAGTTGCAGAGGGTCTGAGGA